AATAAATACATTACTTACCTTAAGAAATTCATGCACATCATTACAATGAACAATGTTGCGGAATGTCCTGGACTGTTATAGAACTGAAGTAAAATCATGGCAGAAAAAAATCCAGGGCTATATGTTCTGCTACCCCATTAATAATAATATTAACATTATTGTTATTATTTTTTCAATTTATTTTGTTTTCCAGGGGTCGATCCCTGTTCCCGACGTTCTGACACAGTCGGGAGGGCGCACCAGCATTATCAACCAATGACCACTCCCCACACCGTGGGGTTAGTGATCATTGGGTTCGTGAATCATGTGCCCTGAACAAGCGCAGTGGTGAGCCAAGAATGACAGCCTTCTGCATTTGTCCGACTAAGATTTCTGCTTCAGTTGAACTAGTGAAACAAATTGAATTTATATAAAAGTTATTTCATTTTCGAACTAGTTTTCATATAATTTTGGTTATCTATATTTTAAATCTCCCCTACAATTTGTATGTGTTTTCGGTATTGCGTTTATGTTCAATTTTTTGCTAATTCACATGATAAGAGCAGACCTGTGACATAAAAATATAAACATTTGCAGAGAGAGTAAATCTTTTTTCAAAATTATCCAAAAATGTGCTGATGCGAAATTGAAGACTAGTGTTTTTATTCGAAACTTCTAAAATAGAATGGAAGATTTCTCATGAAAGTTGTTTTCCCTAAAACTAATTTCTCCTAAAAAGGTTTCCTTTTCAACAATTTTTCATGTTTTCATTTTAGTAGTAAGTTTCACCAAATCATGAGGTATAGCCCACAGACAAAATATTATTTTTGAATAATCGAAGCTCTCGAAGACAACATTTTTGAAGGTTTCATAATTAGTTTACAAAATGTTTGTCACGTTTTCAGGATGTGTTCGCTTCATCTGCAATTTAATGGCAATAATTAAAAACATTTGTCTGCTGCAAAACAAACTTGTGTCAGTATGCATTAGCAGTCAAAAAACCTTGAAGTCGGTATATAGGAAACAGTTTTAACCAAGAGTCATTGAAAGTATTGCACCGTGAATGACGACGAATTCACTGTAGATCTTCAATTAGGATTATTAGGATTGTTGGTACTTGCAATTAATTCATGTTCTTGTTCTTACTAAACGCAAAGATTAGGAAAACCGTAAAATTTAGACAAAACTACTAGATATTTTTTTCAGTTGCTAAAATTACTATAATGTTTGTGTGGCAATATTATATCAATCAATCGGAAATTAAATACAAAAAAATTTAAACAAATTCTTTACACATATTTTCTTATTCATCTCTGTTTCATGGATCAATATGAATTAGACAGGGTAAAACCATAATATAAATAATATCTTCTGCGGTAGAAAATGTTCCCAAACTATTTCAGATTCCCATTATCGATTACTCTTCCTGTGATGACAAAAGATAAACATCTCTGGACCATAAAGGCATTCTGTAGCGATGAATCACTCGGTTCGTATCGACCGAGAATGAAGTGTGTTGAATTCTACTGCTTTTTTTCATGCCGAAAACGTATGACGAATCGTTAAGGTATTCTCCCACGAAAGGGTAAAGGGAAGAATGATAATAAATTGATAGTCAGATGGAGTTGTCTAGACGAAGCAGATGGATGTAACTAAATTGCGTGCAGATTTCGATTTTACAGTGTGGTAAAAGTGTCCGAAAATAATAATATAATTGAATATCCACAAATTCTCTTTGTTATTTATCTCGAATTTTCTACAAAAAGATTAAATTGTCTGTCAGATATGAAAAAAAATTATTTTCAATACCACGAAATTGAATTCCGCAAGGTCTGCTTTCGAACCTATAAGCTTTCCTAATATATTAATGCCTTGGAAATATGCATGCAGTTCATCATTAATAAGTCAGTTACTTACCGAAATAAATTTTGGTGACTTTTCAAATAATTTTATAACAATAGTTCCAATCTATCAAAATAGTTTGTTTTTTCACATTTATGATTTTATTTAAGAATATTTCTTTGCTTATTTATGTACTGTGTGTTACGGTTTAAATCATATCGTTTGTTTTTCAAAATATATTTATTTTTCCTATTGTTTATACAGTCAATTATCTCTTATAACTCATTGTGTCATCTTATCAATCAAATATTCACAGAAGAAAAATGCCCAAATCACTTCAAGATTGCTATTGTGAAACCAGTTTATAAAAAAGTAGATTGAAATGAGCCTAATCTTCAATCTGAGTAAAATATTTAAAGAAGCTCTAAAAGTGAGATTTCTGAGTTTTTTAGATTAGTCTCAAAGACGTAGTTCAAATTAAAAAAACGTTTAACGAACGATGTAATACCCATACTTAATCAGAAAACGGTTTAGACTCGACTCGGGCGTGTGCTGGAGAGTATTCATAGATTTTGCAACTATAGGAAATATTTTCACTGTATCAACTTCTTCAAATATAAAAAATTCTATATAATTCCTGAGTATTATCCAAACCAATCCCCAGTTGAGTTTATTTTGTGGCCGCTAAATGTGTTTTTCAATTAGTAATAATTCCGCTTGAGGAAGCTGTTATATAGCTATTGTGTTGCGTTTTAGAAATGTGTCAGTAACTTTTCTAGATTCATTTATTCAACTAGAGAAATGCATGGACAAACATTCTAACATACATAACCTTAAAACAGCAAATGACGTACCACTGGCGCCAATATTTTCATTAAATTGTGAATTTATGAAAATTACGAAAAAATGTTGCCTTCAAAAACAGTTGATTTTCTGAAATTAGTACGTAACATGTTATTTTTGTAGAGGCGACGAATAAATTGTGTAATATGTTTAAATTTCAGAATATCAGATTTTCCAGCTTTCGAATTCCGTTATTGAAACCGATTTCAACAGTTAGCAAGTGTATTTCAGTGGCGTGAGAAAGGGGGTGAGCTAGAAGGCTCAGTCACTTCGAAAATAACTTCAACATTCAATCAGTCACCAACAGCATTGCGCTTGACCTTTAAACGTCGATATTATGATCAGTATGCTTTAATAAGGTTTTATGTTACAGTCTTCATGGCATTGTATTTCAATACATCAAACTGGAAAATTGAAAAGAGGGTGTATTGATATATTTTCCAGGCCCTCGAGTTCCCAGCTACGCCACTGCTTAAGTATTACGCGTGAGTCATCTATATGCAATTCGATAATCGAATGTGTACTCTTCACTCTTTTTTAGGAAGATGACATAACTGCCACAGCCAAATATAAATTATGACCACGGAATAGTCTTGATTTACGATGATGATCGACAACTAAAGGTACTGGTGTGTTCAATTTTATTGAACTGTATATGAAGCCAACGTTCTGAAGTTCCACTTGAATGAAACTGGTATTATACATAGCGAGATACAAACTTTTACACGGGAAATGGGACGTTATAGCAAACAACTAAAGTAACCCATAAGCTAGCCCATATTTATGAAAACAAATCAAAATGTTCATTGAATTCAGTTACTTGAAAAAAACAATATGTCACCACTTCAAGAACTAGAGTACTGTAAAACCAATATATAAATAATTGGCTAACACAGAAAAACAAAAAAAATCCCAAAAATCAAAAAAATAGCAGAATCAACACTTCTGAATGATTCCGTACAGTCTATCTCGTCTTGTGTTTGTAAATATTTTGCTGGGAAAATCTCACTTGTTTATTTTGTGGTAAATGTTCAAGAGGTAGCAAAAACGTATGTGAATTTTTGGAACCTCATCTAGCGTTTCCTAATATAACTAATAACCAGTCCGTGCAAAGCTTATGGTTAAATCATCTGAAAATGGAATTTTCAACAGGTGATGATCGACTGTATTGCCAAACATGCGGCAAACTAACTGACTGTTATAAGGAAACAAGTATAGCTGAGGCACCAGTCAATCTAATAATATCACTAATGATCTTCAAACAAGACTTAACCTCTGACGGAAGCAAGAAACTCTTTGGAAGGTTCGAAATAGGTGAACATTTCAATCTAGCAGACCACTATTATAATATTCATACAGTCATTGTTCACTGTGGTTCTGGCGTTGAATGTGGTCATTATTACGCCTTGGTCAAAGACGAAACGGACTGGTTTAAGTTTGACGATAGTCGTGTCACGAAGTGTTCTGGCGATGTATTGAATTTATTGGAGCCTCTGGAGACACCCTACATTTTGTTTTATGAGAGAGGACATTGTTAGATCAAGATCTTCAGATGATATGGTGCTGCAGGTTTTTCCTGCAGCTGAAAAAGCAAATGCGCCACTGGAATCAATGAAGTCGCCTCGGAGCGCCAATTAATTTTTATTGTTGTTTTATAATCTCACAAATGAGGGTTTTCTTTGTTTCTAATTTGTTCCTATTATGATTGAATAAATTGTTCATACAGCTAGATTTTGTGTTTTCATTGAGAATTCTCTATCCATTGAATTAGAAAAAACAGTAATTTTCTACACGTTCGTAACTCTAAAACTCTTCAGTAGGACCTAAGTTGTGAAGAAAAATAAACACTTCTACTCCAAGACCTTTGATTATGTTCCAATCGATATTCTATTCAATAACTTACCTAATTACAACTCCACATATCTAAAATCAGAATTTTTCTGGTCCTAATACTAGAAAAAAACATTAGAAAAAGTATAAACGTTTCAGTATAGAATTTCAGGGGTTCTCACTGAGATCCTTTTTTCTGAGATCTTTCTTCTTTAATTATGATATCATTAACTTGGGAAAAATGCACTACTGAAAAGCTTTTTTGCTCCCAAATATTAGGTGAAGCTGTGGTAATCTAAGAAGTCTTTTTTTCTCAAAATATTGGTTATTTGCCTTTTAGAATCGAACATTTCCAAAATTATTTGATAGAAAAATTTTATGAAAAGCATTCATCAAAAATCAGATCCTATTTATTATGAACGATTATTTTGTGATTGCGATTAATACACCTAATAAAATGTGTTTTTCGCTTAAACAATAATATCGGGAAACAAAAAATCAAAGCGTCAGGAAATAAATAAATTTTATTTTGAGCTATATACATAAAGGTGAAGGGACAATGTACAAAAATATACATCAAGAGACTAGACTAAAAAGTTTCAACAAATTGTTATAAATTTCATTGACTGAATCCATCTCACCGAGTGAATATATCAAAAATTAATTAAATCAACATCAACGAGTAGAAAAAAAACTTTAAAAGAAACTTGCTACCTTTCAATTGTGAAATTTGGAGTTTTCGATAAGTCCAACTCTATGATGTGGACTCAATCGATAAGCGTTATATTACCTAAAAATAAGGATACCTTTGGGCCATACGCTGTATAGAATAATACAATTTACAGTCTTCAAATAAAATATTTACATAATTTTTTTTAAATTAATTTTCTTTCGAGTCTTTCGCCTTATCAGTTGATGGTTGCAATGATTTTCTAGACTGGTAGAAATCTGAAACAAAAAAAAAAACATAATTAGATGAAATGAAAAATTGATTTTTCATCATTGTAGACATTGAACAGGAGAGTAGAAGAAAGAACAATATTTATCAATAATCTGGCACATAGAACATTTCGATTATCGTTATTATTATTATAACGATTTTTTTGTGATGTAACAAACGGACAATTCTATAAGTATTCACTCTTTATTGTTTTGATGTAGGCATACACAAAGTGAAGGTTATACCAAATTACCAGATTACTCATATTTTTTTGGGTGACACAAAGATTGAATTTGTTGGAAATATCACATAACGTGAATAACCCAAAACTTGATCTGTGTTCTCCTTCACAATATATTATTCGTGACCAACCTGGTGTAATATGATCTCGCATATTTCAGTTTTGGCACTTTGCAGATGTTGTTTCGACGTAGGACCAGATGTTCGGGGTTCGAACAGATGAGCATTCGAATTGGATTTTTGTCAACATACGTTAAATGAAATATAATTATTTAAAATTGACGGTTTCTTCAAATACACTCAAAGAGAACATTTATACCAAAAATACAGCTTATTTTGAAACCAAAACGATATAATATTGGTCAAAAAAACGAATACCTATTGAGCTTTCTGTGAGCTAGCAATACAAACACTATTGAAAACGAATTGTGGTTTCATTCAAGAAAAAATAGAAAACAGTTGTTCAAAACAAAACAAGAGTATTCACTAAATATTATTTTATGATCTTTCTACAAATATTTTTATAGGTACATTTAGAGGTCGAAACAGCTTCAAGTCATACCGTGTTGTTTGAAACAACTTTCAATGGTTAATTCAGTTTGGCCAATATACTTTGATCGCAATACCCATAACTTGTTTAAAGAAACGTGTAGACAAAAGTGTAGTTGGTGTTCTGATGAAAGAGGCAAAATCCTCATGGGATCAATGCGCCTTATAAGTGGAAGTATGACAAGGTAATTTTATATCTAATAGATCATTTGAGATTTCTGTAAAATTAAAAATAACAATTATGAAAATGATTTGTTGAAACAAAGTTTGGCCACAAAGAAGGTTGAACCAATGAAAATATATGCCTATTTGGTTTGGTTGCCAGAAATGAAACAAGTGTTTTGGTAATAACGCACCATTGTTATGAATTTATTCTTCCTTTGCATCATGAAATGATTGGAAAGTCAAGAGAGAGAGCCAGACAGATGTGTTAGTAGGAACTGAAAAAAACAACAAAAGGAGGAATGAACATTGAACATGTTCACGAACCACATGACAACAAAGTACACCCTTGACACAAACTTTACGATTAAAATTAATAGCTGTGAAGACTGAATGATGGAAAATGCTTCCAAAAATATGCTTGGTGGAAACGATAGGTCAAACACCGACTGTCAAACGAGAGTTTGAACAAAATTATCTTCGGAAAAATATAAGGCAATGATACAACAAATTGTCTGTACGCAATACACCCATGAGGCTACAATGTCCTGAAAAAAATAACTCCAAAAACTTAAAATGCATTTATTATAGTAATTAAATATAGATACGAAGAATGAGGGCAGATAAGCGGTTTTTCACAGCCAAAAATCCGTTCACACGGAAATCTGAAACCCGACTCCCAGACCATGACCATACCAAAGTCAATTTAACGAACGCTTCAAATGCACAAAGAAAATTTATTTCCCACACTGGCCTACATACGGAGTATGTAGGCAATTGACGGCTTTGAAAGAGTAATTTAATCATTTTACTGTGATATCTCGCGAAGATATCTCTCATTCTACCACAAGTTACGGTCTGATGAAATCCGTGTGACCATTACAAGTCGAAGGACCGTTTAAAAATTTTCGGTTTGCACCACAGGTGTTTGGTTGCCTAGTAAAGGGTGGTTTGGATTAGAAAAGGCAATTAATTGTTTGAATAACAACCCGTTTAATGGGTTATACGCTGATGAATTGAACTGAAAGTTCTTGTGAAGATTTTTGAAGAATCCTGTAATCCTTTGTTTTTTAATGAAAGGTAAAAAAATTGTTACCAAAAAACATGATTCAATTAATTTGACATATTTCTAGGATAATTATGGTTTATTTCTGTTTATTTTCAATTATTTCCATAGTACATTCTATAGATATTTTTTTAGAAATTTTTATTGACTCAAATGTGGAATTTTACTCAGAAACTCATTCATTTTTTCATGAGAATACACAAGCGCTTCAGAAAGGAACAGCTCTTTTTTAATGAAATGGTGGTTATCAATATGTTTATCATGTTCAATTTGAATTTGAAAAGTGCCTGTGAATTATATTTCATGTTGTTCAAATGAAAAATGTAAAACATAATGTTTCGATTTCGTCATATTGCTAATTGCTTAATTAGTTTTTTGATATTTTTTTTTGAATTAATTTTGAATCTTTCACATTCTGAAAAATAAATAAATCTAGATCAATATTGAAATAAATAAAGGACAAATACAAAACTTCACCCTGAAAATTTACTTACATTTTACATGAAAAAAATAAATCATTCAATTTATAAATTTTGTATAAATTTTTGTATAAATTGGAAAGCTATCTCCATGCGTTCTGAGAAATTGATCGCCTGGACAGACATTTTTTTGTTTTCTTTTGACAGAAGAGAACATCTTTTTTCAAGCGAAGAAGTTCAACATTTATATAAGGAAAAAATAAATAAATTATCTTACAGATCTTGGTTTAGGTTTACTTTTTTCTAGATTGTATACAAAATGTTAAAAAAATCAAGATTGTGAAACATAACGCATCTTATTATTACTCTACTTCATACAAAAGGAAAGAAAATGTTGATGAATATTGACATTCTTTCACATGACACATTGATTCAACTTGAATAGATAATTCAAATCAATTCAAAAGCACAGGAAGCTAGTGAGTTATCATAGTTTGTTCTAGATGTTAGACAAGATTTTTCATTTCTTTTTTGTTCGAATCATTTGATTTTTTGTTTCATCGCTAAAAATATATTTAGATCAAGTTTCGATCTGTAGATGGAATGGAATATTTACATAACATTTCCGATGCAAGGTTGTTTTCATCTTCCACAAACGAAATCAACAAATCCCGTTTCGCTGGTTGAAATAAATCTTCAGCGACTTCCCGCCAAATCTCACGAATACCACTGAGCAGGTGGTGTTTTGGGACCTTCAGATGATCATCTGTTCCTACCAGCCTGCGGGTCGGATACCTGTTCAAAGTATCCATTTGTCGAGAGACTATTGCGTGTAGCATATGTCCAGAATGGGTTAAAACGTATTTATAATCAAGGACAAGTAAGGATCCAGCTGATCCTGCAAAGGACGTTGGAATTTGATTAATCCAAAGAAATGTGCGTAGATTTGATTTTTGAAGGGCAACCTTGTTTGTGAATGACGCTCTGAGAATTGAAAGATTAAAGAAAAAGATATGACAACTAGTACGTGACACACTCATTTAGTGGTAAAACATTTAATATCTTATTATCTTATTATAAAATACACGTACAGTGCCATCCCCGAAGTACGTACGCATATGGGAAACTTCTTTATTAAGGGTTTTTCGACAAAAAGTTCAAGTACAAAAAGTGCAAAGTTATTTTTATTTTTTGTTAACACCGAAAATTACTCAAAAGTATACAGTATTGTAACAAGAACTTAAAATTCAAGAATATCAAATCACAAAACATCAAAATGAAATAGGTATTTTGGAACAAACTCATCGATTTTCTGGAGATTATTCTGAAGAATTATTTTGGACAAGAAAATCTCCAGAAAATTATTGACTTTGTTCCGAAATACCCAATACATTTTGATGTTTTGTGATTTGACATTATTGAATACTAAGTTCTCCTTATAATACTGTATAATTTTGGGTGCTTTTTGGTGTTAACAAAAAATAAAAATAACTTTGCACCTAAAACTTTGAAAATTATTCTACTCTTCAAAAAAATTGACCGTGGTTAACACCACAGTTGTGTAATTTGTAATATATCGATAAATAGACAGCAGGATGCTGTCTATTTATCGTTCTAGTATTTTTTTTACGTAGTCCCCATTTAAAAAGTATGGGAATAAAACTTCACTTAGATGGCCATGACTTCAAATCTAGATGTATTTTTTAATGCTGAACAACTTTTCTAAATAACATTTTACGAGATTATCCAAAATAAGGGTACTTTACTCTAGTCTCAAAATCAAATATTTGAAGGCTTCTCGTATATTACGTGTGTTTTACTGTATTTTATTGGTGCATGTTTAGTTTTAGGGAACGCACAAACTTTTATCAAGAATAACTTTTTGTCGAAAAACCCTTAATAAATAAGTTTCCCATTTGGTGTGTACTTTGGGGATGACATTGTATGATTACATTTATGATTGTTTTTTTGATTTTTGTTTTTTGATATTGTTTTTTCTTGAGAATCATTTAAAATCAATTATATATGTATACGGCTCAAGTAAAAAATTTCAAAGAAGCCTGAACTCACTACAAAAAGTCAGACAAAAATGAAATTACATTTGAAAATCAGCATGCCAGGAACACTGATTCAACAATATGAAAACTATATCACATATTAAATATCCTTGATTCAACTTTTTTCACCTAAATTGAGTAATATATTACCTAAATATTACATTATCAAGATGCTTTACCAGTACTCACGTATTTTTAAACTTCATTTTTGGGTTTTTGTTCAGAATATTTTATTCAGAAACATATAAATGCAAACAAATTAGAACACATGTTTTTGCAAGGCCAATTAGATGTAAATTATTGATATTTTTTTATGTTTGAAAACACTGTTTCAATCGATGAAGAGTTTATATTAGTATTTTGTCTGATGACTGGGTTTGAAACAATACATTCAAGANCTTAGAAGTCTTCGAAAGACTTTCATCTAAACAAAAAAGGCGATCCCAAAGAATCTACCACTTTCATGTATCTTTCACTTTCATCTAGATTAATTTAACTACTTCTTCTCAGCTTGGTGCTTCCGATATCTGTGTCGAGTCATGACCCATACAAGGCAATGCGGCAAACATTGCAATTTACTTGGAATTCTACTCAGCTTTCTAATGTACGAATTCGCCACTACAAATGAGGTCATTCAGTGCAACAGTCTATTTGAAAAGCACCTTGAGAATTTTATGCGGTTTTTATTGGCGAATAAGTCTCTCTATCGGATCTAGCCTAGCAACAAGCATGCCGACCGTAATTGCATCCTTCTTGCGCTCAATGACTTCTCTTTTCTATCGAGCTAGACAGCTCGAAAACAAATGAATGTTCACTGCGATCATTTCTGTGGAAGAAACAGCGGTTTACTGCGAAATGTCAATGAAACGAGTAATACAGGATCGTGATGTAAGAGTGTTGAAAAAAACATAATCTCTTTTTTTGACGGAAAATGTCATCTACTATTCTTCTCATTCGATTCTTACTTAAATTCTCTTTATTTCTAGTGCTATAAAATTAGTTTCAGGTAGTTGCAAAATGTATCTGATTGAATTATTTAAGATAATTGTTATTTTCTTCTCCTTGCGTGATAAATAGTGTTTCAAACTGACTTGGCTCGGATTGGTTAATTCTTATCGCAAAACCCGCAAACCCCGAAACAGTGTGAACTCATTATAAGCATTGTGTTTATATAATTCTAATAGTGATAATGTTTAAGTTTACGCTTTGAGTGTTTAGAGAAATATAAATAATGTTGAGAAGAGAGCAGACTGCAATAATGAGAGCTTTTTATAGGAATAGCTGCGAAGAAAAAAAGTGAATTTGAAGCGATTTGCAAAAATTATAAAAAAGCAATTCAAGGAATAGTTGGCAGTTCAGAAATCCACCATAAAATTTGCAAAAAAATGCACCCAACTGAAGGGATAGGTATCAGAAAAGATTATTTATTCATTTCCTAAATATGAAGCTGACCATAATAAACGCAAAAAACATTTTTAGAAAATAATTGAAATTGTAATATCTTTAAAAATATATATTGAAATGCGGGTTTCTATTTAAATATTACAACGAGAACCAATATTGATTAATGATAACAATTTTCGTCGATATTAAAAAATACCTAATTTTGTAGTTTTTTTTAATACATCGATGATAAAAATTACAAATTTCAATTGATTTGAATCGCGATTTCAATCAGGCCAGTCCTGAACTGCATTATTTTTTCTCTTCATCAAGTCATACAACTTCAAAAGTTCATCCAACACATTATCAAGAAAATACTAGGGTCGATTTATTCTACCCCAATTACTACCAAGAATTTGAGAAAAATGAACGCAAGAAATACCTGCATTGTATTCGATTCTCTTGAAGAATACATTATTTCCAAGAAAAGAAAATATCAGTGCGAGCGACAGATGAATCATTGTTTGCGTCTACCTGCCGGTTGCGTCTAATTGGCGCCAAATTTCTGGCGGGAAGATGAGATCTCAACTCGAAATTGCCGTCGCTAAGACTAGGAGTGGGCCGTGCCTGTTTCGACTTGTGAAAAGTTGAGAAGTGGTTACTCATGCTCAGAGAGGATGACGCAAGCTTAACGATTGGGACTGGTTTTACCACGGGATAGAATCGATCAATTTGTTTAGTTTCAAAATTAACAGCATAAAGGTGATGATAATAATGTATTGAAAAAAATACATGTACGATTCATTTATGTATGAAGCCAGGCGAAGCTGAATTCGCATGATGACTATATAATATCAATAACTTATGTTCTTGAACTCTACCTTCAAAAAACCTCGGAGTGCAGAAAGTATTAAAGATCCACGGCTTTAGAAGATTAACGTTTAGTCGATAATTTTTAGTTAGAATCTAAGTTCTTTGCGATGTTGTCTCAAAACTGGGTGTCGGTATTATGTGTCATTTACAATCAGAAAACTTTTCTCTCTATAAAAACCTTTTTCTTCCATAATTCAATCAATTTTAGGCGTACTACTTCAAGGATTCAGGTTCTGAAAGTTTCTAGTAAAAAAACCGGTAATCTTGATAAAGCTAACAAAGTCCTCAAAAAATTGCTAAAAAAATGTACTCTAAATTTGGAAGAAATAATCTTCCAATGTTACACAGTGCAGAGTTCAATACTGAACATTTTGTAGAGTTCTGAAAAAATTATATCCAAAAAAAGTATTTCAAAATATATGAATCATATTTTGAAAATACGCCAGAAACTGTGTAGAAGATCTAAATATTCATATTCCTAATTAGTAAATAAGTTTTAAAATATTGAGATTTGTTTCCAATGAAAAGACAAGGAGACTGGATGACCACTGTTGTAGCCTAAGGCTATATGTGAACTATTTGATGGAAAACAATCAAAAATTGGCAATGCCCTCTAGCGACAAATCTAGTGAACTTACAGGCTGTTCAACACTGCCTCTTCAGGTAGCAAATGCAATTTGATAAACAGGACACAATCAATTATGCATTGATTGTTTGTCAGTATTATATCATCTATAGGGTCACTAGATCTATTGCTCCTTGCTTTTCTGTAGCGATATGTGAAGGTAAAATCTATGATGAAACACAGAGATTTGCGTACTAATAGTCACTCTACAAATGCCAGAATAATGAATGTTTATTTTCGTCTGTTTATTCTGGAAACCTTTTTTTTTTTTCAATACTGTATAACACTAATGCGTTCTTACTATCATAAATATCTAAATAGTCGTTATTAAGTACACTGTATTGACGTTCAAAACACGTTTCAGTTCCCATGATGTAATCAACCTAGTTTGAATTTAACGACACTTCCTTGTTAATGGTGACTTGAAGATTCGTTAATGTAGGATAAGTATCTGTAATGTTTACAGTTGAAATAAACAACGAATTTGAGAATCTAATCATTTTTTACGATTTATTTATCATCGATGGCCGCATAATGACGATTATATTCAACAGATAACTTTTCACTTAATCAAATGATGGATTGATGGAGGTCCTTTTTATCATTATGCAACAGGATGTTTACCTCTGCTCAGCCTTAATTGTTTGTTTCAATTCTTTAATTTACTAATTACCTGACGACTTCCTTGATAAGTTTGCATAAGAGATCTAATTAATTTTAATTATTGTGTGAAAGTTTTTTCAATATCCGGTCTCAAACGAAACTTTTAAAATAAAAACAAACAATTGTAATCATTGAATGTACATAATTTTTGTAACTGAAAACAAGTTGAACTAAAAAAATTGTGCTCCCATTTGATGAAAAAATAACATTAAACTACAAAGAAAAGGTTTTCAAAGGAGAACTTCAAATTGTAGAGCCCTAATGAATCGTTTTGTTCCGCCGCTGATAATAATTTTTCAAATAACTTTCAACTTTGCATTTCTGTCTCGATTTTCCAAGAATGCAGCAACTTGAAGGATCTTATTTCAATGACTGGAAATCAGTAATTTTGCAGAATATGCGAGAAAAATTGAACATCACACAATGACTTTTACATGACGGTTTTTGCTTTGAAAAATAAACACCACCTAACACTATGAACTATATATTTAAACAAAAATTTTGAAGCAAATGGTGAAAAATAAATATAACTTTTTTTATTTGTCTTGAAATGTGTTCCATGAATAATCGGAAAAATAAATGAAAACTATGAAAAAAATCTAGGTTAGAAATCGTACATTGAAAGATAACACCCCAATAATTATCACTTTGCACAAGTTTCAATTATGACGGTGTGGTCTTTCTGATGGAGATACATGTTTACCGGAAAACTACATTTCAATCTACTTTCAGATTCGAATAGTTGAAAGTAAGAAACTGAAATTTTATGTTGCCTGGATAATGAAATTGATCATTTAACTGAAACCCTTTAAGAACCTAACTAACTTCGCTATTCTAAGTGAGATAATTGTTTTTTCAGTTATAGTAACATAACTTGGAACTATTGCGATAAAATTCATTACAGGTACGTGAATGCTTATTGGAATATGGTAGTAATAATAGTAATATACATTTCTCAAAAAATTATTCAACAGCATATACCAAAAAAGATTTCATTGAACTTTTTAATTCAACCCGAAGTTTTAGATAGTAATATTCACTATAATCACGGGTGCTGGAAAAACATCATCAGAGTTTAGATAAAACAGTGTTGAAACTTTGTCATTTCAGAGTACTTATATCCAATAGGTGTATAATGGGAAACTTCATGGAATTTATACCTACTACATTCTGATTCTTTTCAAGTTTAATATATCACAGTATCAATATAAATATTTGCAATGAAAAATGCGGGGTTATATTTTCAACTAAGTAAATAGTTACTTTCAAATACACGTTTTCAACATATTTATGTATTGAGACTTGTTTGGACAATATCTAGACCATTTCCAAACGAAATATAGATACCTTACAGTTCACTTCAGTTGTGTTATTTCATTGCAAGATTCATTTGTTGATAATTTACAGATTCAACATTTTTGAGAATTTGAAAAAAAAGAAGCAATTCGTGTTATTTAAAAAAATGAAGCTGTGACTTAAACTCTTACAGATTTTAGATGAATTATTTTAAAGAAGGAAGTTCAACAACTCATTGTTATAAATAATAATCTAAAGTTATAATACACTTTTTATAAAAATAACCACAAGATATGTCAGATTTTGGTTGGAATAGGTATGACGTGATGTTTTTTGTTGAATATTGGGGGTTTGAAATTGCACTGTCTGTAATTATGAACAGATATCAAACCTAATAGTCTATGAACAGTGAATGAATAGAAAAATAATTGAAAAACACCAACCTGTCATTGCAAGCTGACCCCTCTCATCGAACGTTTTCCTCTTCCCCTTCAAAATCCTTCTCCTACTTTTTCCACAACTCCTCTCTTTCGGAGCAGCATTTCCGCTATCATTTTCGTTGTTACTATCCCTTTCCAAGTTTTCCAACTCGTCCAAATCAATCCCAAACCTTTCGCTGAACCGTCTTCTGTCTTTCTCATACTGTTCCTGCACCATTTTTTCTGTATCAGCAGGTGAGGAAACCCCGAAAAGACACTTTTTCAGGGTAGTCTCCCTCGAAGGCCTCGGCAAGTTGTCTGTGTTATCGATTTTCTTTGGTTTCAGCACCCTCAGGTTCTTGTTTTCAAGTACAATGAGCTTACAAACGAACGAATCCATCTTGACCGAACTACTGACTATAGAACTTTCACGACCTATTCCTGCGAAGCGCTTTGACGTTCTGTTTTGATGTCCTGTTCGGAAATCCACGGTGACTGTGAAATCCCCCACCGCGCTTGCGAAGCGTGGAGCTTGGCCAATGACGGCGCGTCTCAGAAGTGAGAGAAGCGCTTTCATTTGTCCTTTTGGCGGGATCGTCCTGGCTGGGTTTGAATTCAAAGTATTATTATGAGTCACTTGATTCGTTTTGTTGTGTCGTATCTTGTATAAATCTTGTAGGCGACCTGCGGAAGCGTGTTCTTGCAGGTACATAGATGAAGTCACTCGAGTGTAATAATCTCATTGGGACTTGCATAGGGTGATTTTAGATGAAATTCAGGACTTGTCGAGGATTTTATTTGAATAGCTCCACGAATAGGAGTAGGTATACCAATATCACTACATAAGGCGTTTTCTGGCGCTCATGTATTCGAAACGTATTCGTCTGTGAGTCAAATACAATCATTCTGGCGGTGAAACTATGAAGTCACATCAACTATGATTTGAAACGTATTTATGATGATTCAAAACTAACGTGAGGTTGGTTTTGAAACCTAATTTGACATTACGTTACGTTACGTCAGCTGATGATATACAAAATTAACCTGGGAAATTATTACTTGGATGTCGATTTTAACACTTTCCTTGTTGATCCATATTTTGAATAGAAAAAAGAACTTAGTACACCGGTTTCACAAATGCAGCTACATTTGTAATATTTATGCAGCTGCACTTTAAATAATCATTCTGTAAAATAAAATATTTCACTTTTTTATTGAAAGTTAAAATGAACCGTATATTCCTCTCAATAGTATCAATTACAAAAGCTTTTTCATTATCAAAGTATTGTCGATTCTCGTTCGGTCACAAATCACTTGTTATATTTTGTAAAACGTTCCACTTAAATGTCACGTTTCAATGACGGCTTATCTAGACTACTTCCTCTGTACGATGGTACATTTCAATTGTTTTCAATTACCGACGCTTTTTCAACACTTCCGGTGGCAAACCGTGCATGTTTCAACATTTTAATTACTTAACTTTTTATGCTGAAAGTATAATTGTTGCTCAGCCATGATATATGGCTGTATCTCCGTTGCTTGACGGCACCAAATTATTTAGATTTTTCAGTGCATCTACGAGTGAAACTTATATACAGGATATGTTGAAATTGGAACAATTCATTCCAGTATGGAAGTTCTCGAACTTTAACAAATATATGTAAAGAATATTACTGGAATTTTTTCCCAACGCCAAACCGTTATTTTAACACCTCGACACGTGTTTTGATCACCAAGTGACCATTTTCAAGAGGAAGATCTTTTTGAAAATCCTCGCGTGTTTCGATCACAAAGTGATCATCTCAAAGAGTACACTAAAGATTCAAAACAGTGCATCACAAGTAAATATATGTAACTAAGAAATAGAGCCGTGAAGAATTTAGATATTAAAATGCCACTCTACGAGAAAAGCCATACACAAAGATTCGTGTTCTAATATGGTTCAAAATTGTACAACCTACTCTCAGTAGAATTGAAAACAATGAAAATAATTAATAAATTCAAATATGCCCTCAACATTTCCATAATCGAAAACCCAAAAAAAGTTTGACATATATCGAAACAGTGAATAACAGTTTCTATACCATCTGTATATTTCTTATACAAGCATATACTCAATTTATATATACTTCTTTTTCTTTCCTCTATGAGTTTCAAATTTCATTGTTGTTAATTATATTACTATAATATATTGTCTTGGGTTTGTCATATTGTTTCTATAAAGTGTATATACAGAACTCTTATCTTAATGAGTAATATAATAGCTATGTCATGAAACAAATTTTATTTCATCTTGAAAATAAATTTGATTTGAAAACTGAAAACTAAATTTAATTGTAGAGTTGTTTTTCCAATAACCTCGAAAATTATTGCCATTATGATCAAAAAGGCTTTTCAAATCTAATTAACGCCCTTGACCCATGAAAACAAAATAAGTGAATGCTTGAACTTTGCCTTCTCTTTTAACGAGTGCATGTGTAGAAAAAGCAACTTTCAGTGGTCATTCTCCAGCTCGAAATTCCAAAAGTGCCGCCAAATTATCTACTTTTACGACCTTTGACGTTGAAGTTATAAGAGAAAGTATCATGCAAAGTTGACGCTCTCTGGCAGATGAGCATGAGCTGGCGAACTTAGACACTAGACTGCATCCTGTTTTTTTTCATAAAAATCAAAATGCATGACCCACTTGCCCCCTTTCTGAACTCGCTCCCCATACCTTACGTTTTGAGAGACACTCGTGAAGGTGATTCAAAGTATCCTATTGCGAATGGTTCATTGAAAACAAACTGCAAAGCAAAACTATTAGAGAAAGGCCTTCTGCCAAAGAATTCAAAAACACATCAAGATTTATTGAACGAATGTCATTTTTTGTTGGAAAAAATCAGTTTGCACTTTCTACACGTGTATATAGATTTCTCCATTACGTATTTTTTTATTTTGGAAGGTGGAAATACCCAAAGAAGGTCGATAAGTTTTGACTTCAAAACCTTTAACCAACTAAGTGGTGCTTCAAATGAAATTGGTAATTTGATTGTTATTTTATTGAAAACAGCTTTTGATTCTCTATCCTACTTACTGTTTTTGAAAATCTGTCCACTCGTTTAGAAGATATGGAGCTTTGAAATGCCAACAATTCATTTTCCGAAAAAATGCAAAATCGGTTTTGAAAAAAACCTACTTATATCCAATTTTTCCTTGCCAAAAAACAGTCACGTTGAAATATATTCCAAATTTTCTCAGACCAATTTGCTCTGTTATTAAACTATGAAAACAAAAACTATTACCGCCAGTTCAAAAACTCATCAAACATTTCAAAATCTAAACACACATTGAATGACTCATAATCTCTACACAAACCAAACCTTCATCCGACGTTGTGTCAAAAACTCATAAAAATAATAAGGCTAGTTCGAGCCAGACAGCCGATCGTCCAACTCGTGCTACAAATCGCACATTATAAGACCTTGTTAATCCTCATCTCGCGACAGTTTCAAATTTTGGGTATTGTCGTTCGTGAGAAGATTTAACGGAAAAACAGATGAACTGAAATGAGAGCATTGAAACTTTATATAATGTGCTGAAAATATCGATCTATGATTCTTGGAAACTAGTCATATAGTAACTAATGTGAAGTTGAATTAATTCGTTATGCTCTTGAAATTCACAACACCTTATTTTGTACATAAGCCTTTGTGAAGCTTTGTGAAAATGTCTCAACAAACTTTATGAAAAAAATTCAGTGTTGGTTTACTTGTTTGGTATTGCTTCACTAACAGAAACATATAAATAGCACAATATATAGCACACTAAATAGCACAATAAATAGCAAAATATATAGTTAGGAGTGGTTTATTGAATGCAAAGACCAATTCCACATTTGGAAACCATCTTCTGGTAAAAAGGTATGACGTGTTACATTTGGAAGAGAAATGTTTGAAACTCAATTTTAAGGAATACTTGAAAATAAATAAATTCATGGATTCTGATACTGTATGACCAAAATAGAATTGAATTATTTGCCTCTATAAAATTTGAGTTAATTTAATGAGAGGTTACTATTATTACAGACAGCCAGGCTGCATTTGGTGTACTGATGAACTCGGGAGGTACATCCCAGATAGCACGATGACCGTTTTGGAACTAAAGTGGGACAACTTCAAATCACCTTCGGATGTCGATTGGTATGGGTGTCCCAATTGTGTCACCGGGTAACGGAAGTGATTCCATCATAGGACATCCCTAAGATGTCCTGCAAATGTCAGTGGGACAAAACGTGGAAATGTCTAGAAGATGAAAGACGGAGCTTGCCAGCTCAGGCCTGGGAGCATTTTATTAATAAATATGATATCCCACAGATAAAAAGGAGACTGTAGATGTTATATCTACAGTATCCTACAGTTATATCTACAGAAGGTCTGGGAGTTTTGTTATATATCTATCAATAACATCCTCAAGATATCCCGTATTTGCCATTGGAATAAAAATCATTACATATTTATTCGTTTCAAAAATGTTTTTCAGTGTCTGAGAAATGTATCAACTTCGCATCTTTGGTTCTAGTGTGACGTGGTGAATATTTTTCTTTAGCACCGAACAAATATTTTCTGTTCATGTTGTGTCCATTATTCAATGGCATCTAGACTTTTGACAGTCGAATCTAAATCATTTGTTTTCTTTAAATGATCGTAGAAATTCACATTCTCATGGTCATTTGAAGTTCTTTTGGTTAGTCATATTATCAATAGTAAAATATCATTGTTAGGATATTTCAAATAATTATTCAATTGACTATGATTATATTGAAATCATTAAGTATTGAAAAAAACAGTTTTGAAATGAATATATAAACTCGATACTCATAAACTCCGAGACACCTTTATACTATGGATGGGTTTCGTTTAACATTAGCGACGACTTCCAACCAATGGCAATCTACCATCACCGAACCGCCATAACTCATTTGCAATTTGCAAGGAATTGATAAATTGGAGTGGAACTTGGTGAAAATTGTCAAGATTGTTTGAAATTTGATACTCATTTTTCACAAAACACTTGCAATATCTGTTTGAATTTGTTTAAAATCTGTTTTTTTGTTAACCAGCTGTCGCACCCCTCTACGAACTACAACTCTCAGAAGTCGAAACTTGTGCGAGCTAAGGATTAACGAGGTATTACCTTTTAACGTGTGATTCCTCTAATACGGCTTGGACGATAGCAACTGAATATCGATCGTTCAGACTAGGGCTTGAACCACCGACCAACACGGCAGTCAATTCGAGTGAGTGAACAAATCACCCACGCCGAACCGCTTGGCTACCGACCGACCATAAACTATACAATAATATACAATTTCAAGTAGATACTGAATATATGTATATGTAACAAAATAGGACATGAAAAGATAACAGCAACAGTTTGTATTTAC